AATAATAAACTAACTAACTACCTACCCTCCTCTACTATAAATAACTAACTTTACTTTACTTCTACTACAAAACTAACTAACTACTCTCTCCTACGTCACGATACTCTCTCTCTCTCTCTCTCTCTCTCTCTCTCTCTCTCTCTCTCTCTCCGTCAAAAAAAAATTACTCTCCCCCCCCCCCCCACACACACAAAGCCAATCCTACTCAGCTTAGTTTCTCATACCCACTAAGCCACAAATAGAGCTAGCAATGGGCTGGCCCATTACATGATATTTGTCTTTGAGTAGATAGAGAAAGAGTTTAGTACTTAGGAGTAGAGAGATAAGATAGGATAAAATATCTTGCAACCCACTCTTTAAAAATTTAAATTAAAATGCTCCAAAGACAACCCAGGCCTGGGCACATGCCACCTATCAATCATCACTACTCAAGTTCGAATCCATTGCAACCCACTCTTTAAAATTTTAAATATATTTTAAAATGCCCAAAAGAAAACGCAGGCCTAGGCCCATGCCACCTATCAATCATCAGGGCAGGGCCATTACCATGCCTACAAGAGATACCAACAGTTGGCCCAGCTCTAGATTATTACAAACAACCCCTAGTCGTTTCTCCATGACTAAAAAGGAGAATAAACAATACACAATACTCTCTCGGCCTTATTCTGCCAATCCGAATAGGTCTACTCAGTTAGTATATGGATTTGTGTTGATAAGAGAACAGGAATGAGATTCTGTGTTATGACATCAGGTAATCAAGGCTTGCCTTCATAGATTTTGCAAACGCTTAGCTGACTTGTCTCATTTGCTGTGGTCGATACATGCATGGCTTCAGTTCATACCTTCCTTTAGAAGTTCCCAGAATCCACAGTCCAACACATCACCTCCTTTAAGTTATTTCCATACTAACCACAAGCCTTTCACAATCACCTCCAATATTTCTAGCTGTAAACATAGATTCCACTCAATCATATTGACCACCACAAACAACCACAAGTATCTCTACACTTCAAGTTCAAACATTACCTTCCTATCTTACTCTCAGCCACCCAACCAAATGACAAGTTCCGATATATAAAAGGTAGACTAAGAGTGACAGAATCCACCATAGTGCAACCACAAAAAAACCACACATTTGTGTTGGCTCTGAATTAATCTTTTGACCCCTTAACTCCCTTCCCACATGTTCCATGACAGAAAGTGCTTCCCCCCCCTCCCCCCCCCCACCATTTCCTTTTTTCGACTAACCCAAAAAAAAACATCCGAACTGCAGCCAACCGTGGCCAGAATCTTGTGCTTTGTTTTTATACCTTTTTGAATGATAAACAGAATTTACAAGTACATTATAAAGACCCAAACATCAAGTTGGGAGAGCATGAACTTTATGAACTTGTACAACCCGTGGCAACTCTCTCAAGCCTTAGTTGGCTTCATCCCAAAAAATATCAAACTTAAATGTATTAATCACACAAGTTCAGATCCACAGATTTTAATCCTGACAACTCTAGCGCCAGTAACACTATAAATTGAACAACTAAATTGTGGGCAAGTAGAGATATCTTCAGCAAAACGAACAAACAAATTGAAATTCTTTCCGAAAGAGAGAAAAGAACATCAACACAATTAAAAAATTCTCACTTTAAAGTCTTATATAGTACCTCGAAGGATTCTGCAGAGATGAATACCCTGAACCTGGTGCCACACCCACAAATCTCACTCTATCACCTGGCCCAATTGGAACCAGTTAAATCTCAAGAACTTCAAAGCTATTAAATAGCCATAAAAAGAGAAGATAAATGAGGAGCCTAACGAATAGCCCTTGTGTAAAACTCTTTCGGGAGTTCTTGTATGATTACCTTTTTTAAATATATAATTCTTAGATGATGAAGCAGAAAAAGAGGAAACCATGGTTGAGTCATGCTTTGGCAGACCAAAAGAAGAAAGTGCATTTACAGAGCCCGCTAGATCAGATTCAGGTCCCGAAGGCACAGTCTTAGCTGCATCAGCATGTCCAGATCGCTGCTTGATACAAACACATGACTTTTCAGCTTTTAATCCTTCTTTGCTAGGCTCCATATCCTTTGTACATAAACCCTACAAGATTTTGATTATAGATTTCAATTATAGAGTGAACATTTATACCAGGCATTTTCCATGTTTACAGAATGAAAATCTTAAGAAGACATAAAGCTTGATCTTTAAATCCCACACCCACCAATGAGTTGGTATCAAAGACAAGCAACTTAGCTCCAAAGTGCTTAGCGAGTGCCTTTGACAACATTTCCTGATATATTTCAGAGCCTACAAGAATGTTTCCAAATATAAAGTCAAATCTAAGCACCAAAAAGTATTAAGCATGTGACTCAGGAGTTTAACACCAAGTGTAACTACTAACCTGAAGGGCCAGACAGCAAAATTCTTGGGCTTACAGTTGGAAGATCTGAAGTATATTTTGAAAATTCCTTCCGCTTCAGATGTATATAAACTGAAGCAATCAACACATTTTTTGTGTTCTCACTGCATTAAGAGCACAAAAATTATACTTGTCAAAATAATAGAACAACATAACCAAAATCCAAATTCAAACACTAGAAATGCAAGGGCTGTAACAACTTTAGCCATTTATCACAGAGGTCAAGTAGGAATCTGAACCACAATCAATTATATATAAACCAAAAAGAGAAGATTTAGAAATGCAGCATTGTAAAACAGGAGCATGAATAAGTCCATTAAGTTCAATGGAAATGGTAAAACTTCAAAAGCTATTGCATTATATCCCTAAGAAGGTTTGAATAGATTGAATTTCTTGTGTAGCATAGGAGAAAATTTTCATGCCCAAGCCAAAGCCAATAACATACACATGCCAGTAAATTGTTCCATGAAAACTATATTGTGAAATTTGAAGGAAACTATAAAAAGATCAAACTTCACTCCACATTCAATATTCCATCCTTTACCATATGTGATTAAAAATTTATATATGTGTGCGTGTGTGTTATATATGGGTGCAGTTTATCTAAAGTGTCTGCCTTCAACAACCAAAGTAAGGCACAACTCCAAACCTTGTCAGAAAATGCAGTTCCGATTCTAGAACTGTTACAATGGCTTGAAAATATATTTCCTCCCCTAGTTATGAAATCTAAACTCCAAAAATGGTTTGGGTCAAGCAGATTTATAAACACTTGACAATCTTGAAAATGGATGGCTGAGATAATGTAGAGATGCACTATTTTTAAGACTTGGAATCCTTTTTTTTTATGTACATATTTCGAGGTCAACATGATCAATTGAAAAAAAATTCAGCAACAGAACAACCTTTTCCTATGGAAGATCTTTGTCATTTGTATGGTGAACATGCGTTTGTTAGGGACTGCCATGTTAGCATTAGGGCAAGAAGGATGTTTACATTGAAGGATAGTGGCACATTGGTGTTTTTTGTCTATTAATTGTTTGTATCTGTGCAAAACCAAGTGCAGTTAGCCTATGTGATTCAAAGAAAGGGTCCAGAAACACCTAAATCGATCCACTTAGCAAACACTAACCATACTAGACCTAAGTGGGAACCACAATCTCACTTCCATTAAAAAATCCATCCGAACTTCCTTCTCCTTACCAATTTTCTTCGTTGCTCAACATAAGCAACAATTCAACATGACTAGCTCTTTTTTCGGGTACATGACTAGTTCTTTTGTCAGATGAGTTTTACAGCAAACAGAACAGTGGGAAGGAGGTTTGATGCTGGATCTTGAGAGAGAGAGAGAGAGAGAGAGAGAGAGAGAGGGAGAGAGAGAGAGAGAGAGAGAGAGAGAGAGAGAGAGAGAGAGAGAGAGAGAGAGAGAGAGAGAGAGAGGAGAGAGAGAGAGAGAGAGAGAGAGAGAGAGAGAGAGAGAGAG